CACAATAACAAATAGTACATTTGCACTCAAAACCGGATGGAATGTACTTAAAAGAACGCTATACCCGCATGTGTTGTCTCCGTCTAACAAGAGCGTAACATATCAAATTGTACGTTCATCAGATCACTTTAGTAGATCATTACCTATGAGTATTTAAAAATTGTAAATTGTTTGTAAAACTTAAAATACTCATAACTCTTTAAAATTGAAATATTATAAAAAGCCCATGAGTAGCCCTCTGTAGTAATCTTACCTTTAATTTTAATAAGAGGTCAATTCACTCTAATTTTTAAGTGAACTGAGCTAAACGTGATCTGCTGAACTTAAAATTTGATAAGTGGCGCTCTTGTAAGACGGAAACAACACATGCGGGCGTATCTTAATAGATATAGGAATGGGCTAATTTCCATAGAAATTCTAGAACAATCACTTTTAATACCTCCACTCGTCTGTTGGAACTTAAGAAATCCCAATTGGAAACTTTAACAAGACATTTTAAACCAAGTACTTATTGATCACCCAGTCAATCTAAGAAATGCAACTAATCAATCCGAAATAAATTCAATGATCAACAAATTTTCTAAAATTAAATATTTGAATCCAAGTCTTTCTTTATCACTTTCTCACTCAGACCTGGGGAGCTGACACAAAATTCCTTTTAAACATATATAAATCTTTAATACTGTCAAAAATAAATTATGGGTTTATTATTTATAGCACAGCTAAAGAAAATCTACTCAAAATATTAGATCCAATCCATCATGATGGAGCAATAGGAGCATTTAGAACAAACCCCATTGATAACGTTTTATGTTATTCCGGAGAATTACCTCTCACACTCCTAAGAAAAAGATATACTCAACTATGGCATCAAAAGGAAAAGCACTCCTAACCATATAGGTTATAACCACATATTCAACAACCAAAATACAAATCCAACCAACATGATCAGGAAACAAATACTCACCATCTATATATGATACCTTCTCCATCTTGTGCAACAAGTTCAAAATCCAAACATCTATCAAAAATAAAAAAACATTCTAAAAATATCACACCGAAAATATATATATTTTAAAATTTGATTTTCATGATTTTGTAGAGAGTTAAATGTCGGACACTTGTTTCTAGAGCAAGGAGCCATTATGTGATTATTGGGATTTGAATTGCCCAATTTTGTTTATTGTAATAATGACTATTATCATGCGTTCTTAAAAGTCCCTACATCCGTAGTGATCATGCATAGTCAATCTACCAACTGAATGTAATTTAAGTTATTGAACTCGTACGATTTATGTCGTTCCGTGGTTCTCCCAATCTTACTTGATGAGGATGAGGAGACGTGACACGCAGGTATTCGTAATGAGTCAATATAAAATGAGCTAGATATATAATTAAACCTATATACGAGGATAAATGGAACAGATGCAGTTTGGTTTTCCTTGCCATTTTGAATTTTTTATCGAAACTTATGTAACTATCGTCGAGTTAAGAACGATGGTGTAATCAGAAACTATTGGTCAAACTTCATTTTGAAATGATTGCGAAAAAGCTGTCAAATTTTGGATTTATCAAAAAATTACTTACTAGTACTTACTTAGTCCAAAAATATTAAAAGTTAATGTTTTTGAATTGTTTTCATTATTTCACTTTTCTACGATTAAAACGATGGTGCAATCAGAATTCATACATCATGATTATTTTAAAAGTAATGGGAAGAATAATTGAGAATTATCACAGAATAAACATATCATTATAATACGTATATTTTTATGATCATTACTATAAACTATAATATGACACATATCGTCTCCGGTCAGAAAATTCGAGGTCTTCCAAACCTCTCGATTGAGTTCTCGGGCTAACCTATGTCTAATCTATGTGGTGAGAAAGTTAGAGAACAACAAATAGTAGGTTATACACCTACCAGCTCAGGTCGTCCAACTAAACGGATCTCTCGGTTAGGTGCTTTCCCCCCCTCCCAAACCCCTAGGGACTCAAAAAAACTCACTTTTAGGTGAGACACGTTTTCCTGTCTGAAAACTTGAGATCTTCTGGATCTTTCGGACCTTGGTGGGGGCTCGTCCTGTGCGTTTTCCTATATAGTGGGAAAATTATGGTATAACAAGTAGAAGGTACTCGGTTGGATAGATTTTTTATTATACACACATACCATGTACAGTTATGTTGTTTAGAGTAACATTCAAAAACAAAATCGATTTTTTTTAAAAACCAAACTTTGGTTGAAATCTGAGTTTTTCCTTAATTTTTGTATGTTATTCTTGCCACTTTTGAAAACTATTGAGATTTTTTTACTTTTGACCCCCCCCAAAATACCAACTAGATTCATTTTCTTACTAGAAAAGATACTGTTGAAGAAAATTGAAGCATTTTTACTGCTCCAAAAGGTGATGGCAGACACAAAAATAAAATAAAAAATACACATCAATATAAAATCAAAACATTCATCGCTCCTCTCGGAATCTAATGTTATATTTCTGCATAAAGCGGTTGCTATATAGCGGTCATTGGACCTGCGCCCGATGAATAATTAATGAGTTGTGTGTTTTAAAATGATAAATTTCATTCGATATTTTATGAAATATAATATTAAGAAACATGTTTCCTTTGTGACAACTCGAAGTAAATTCCGCTCTGTCATGTTGTTGAGTAATTTCTGGTTAAAAATGTTTAATATTTACAATGTAAAAACGATCATCCTGTCATTTTGTCGCTCACCCAACCCGTCAATGTTAAATTGATCCAGCACAGATAAAATTAATATTGGTACCTACTATTATTACCTTCTGACATTGTAAAATATACTTACGAAGCTGAAGTGTAATAAATTGTGTTGGAAATAATTTTGGCATTTGTTGCTGCGACATAGTTTTAGAATGCGCGAAAGTAAACACGAAATTCCAATGGCGCGTAAACAATGATTGCATTTTTCAGCACAAATATTACACATTTTAGATTGCTTTTACATTCTGGTTGCCATAGATTAAAATTAATTTTTTTAATGTATTTTATTTTACTGGGGAGATGTTGCCAATAGTGTATTCCTATTTTCGTATTTTACCCACAGAATAGATTTCATTTTGCCTATAAGTAAGTTATAGTTTTTACCTGTCGTAACATTTTATGTTCACATTATAGGTTTGTGTCTTGTGTAACCATATAGAATAACTACCAGACAACACTTTTCCAGTGATATATACATTTTCTCCCTACTATGTACATAGGCGCAGAAATAGGTGCGATGAAAAAGTCATTACGTATTAAAATAGTATTAGCAAATAAAAATAGTAAATTATAATTTCTTAAAATTTGAATACTAAAGGACAATGTGCTTATCAAAATATGATCTATAAGGAGGATTAAAATTCAAAAAATGATCACTCTAGTCATTAGAAATGTCTTTAACTATAAAAACTATACTGTTTGTGTTAAAAAAAGTGTTTATTAGTTTTAATAAAAAATATATAAAATTGAAAAACATCTATCCCGCAGTTTATATGCAAATACACATACTTTAATGAAATTTAGTTAAAATTACGATACCAAACTGTTTTATTTCTTTAAAAAATAAAGTCATCATGAGGTAAATTTATGTGTTCAATTTGTTTAAACTCATTGAGTAAAATATTAGACACTAGTAAGTTGTGACTTGTTGACTATCGCTATTTCAACTACGCCCGTAAACTGCAGGTGTGGGATGTTCTATTATTTATTATGGAGTACATATTGCCATATTGGTATACAAATTATGACATGTTACTGGTTAAACTCGATTATACCTATTGGCATTTATTTAGATAAATACTTAAAAAGTTAAAAGCTTAAAAATATATAGAATATGGGCGCACTATATCCTACATAGGTCTATATTGGTATGACTAACTTTTTAATATTTCATCTTATGAATCCCACTTTTTTACTGTAAATTATTTAGCGGATAATTTTTTTGAGAATTTTGATGCACTGAAATCAAAATTCGAACGAGTAGTTTTCTATTTATTACATATTTTGTGCTAAGGATAATATTGCTTATAATAGGAAAGAAGGATATGCTTATACAGTATACATTGACACATTGTTATCAATAGTCTATAGTCCTATAGACTCTATACACATAATATAAAATAATACGTCATTTTATATTTATTTGGTCAAACACTTAGGTAAAAAGCAAGTAAAATCCTTCGTGATTTATTTAGTTATTTTTCTTATTCCATGTGTAGAACTGTATAAGCAATTAGCATATCCCTATTATGAACTATTATCCTTAGTAATAATTGTCCAATAACTGGGAAACCACATGTTCGAATTTTGATTTCGATACATCAAAATTCTCAAAAAAATTACCCGCTAAATAATTTAAAGAAAAAAAGTGTATTTGAAAAACAAAGGTTCGTATAGCCACAGGACACTCCTTAAGTGGCACAACAAATCTCAAGAATATGAAAATGTGGTCTTTGAGACTTAGGTATATTTAAAAATTCCAAAAATCAGATTTTGAAAAACTTAATTATTAAAGATAAAAAGGGGTGAACATGCTTGTTGGATCACCCTGTATAATTTAATAGTAATTACATTCAATAGAGACACTTTTAAATCACCTAGTTATTTAAATGAATAGGCTGAAAACTTTAAACTATAGGTAGGTATATAGTTAAAGTACGAATAATAATGTACTCTATATATAATTTACTAATTCTATTACGCTAATGTACTCACTGCTGTGTCATAGTATTTATATATTCCTACCTATCTTTCATTATTTTAAAATGTCATTTATATTAATTACTTAAGTTGTCAAGTACTTAAGTCTAACTGTCTAAGTTTTATACCTGCCCATATAATACGGAGTTATTTTATTATTCATATAATTATAATCATTGCCGTTCATTGTTGCATGTTTGTTATTGTTTATCTTGCATCTTGTTTTAATTATGTTAATGAATTCACGACCATTAAAATTATTCAACTCCTATATTGCCATTTCTTTTTTTAAAATTTTTATTCAGCACGGACATAGTTTAAAGTTGTTTGTTGACCATCATGGATGATGGAAATCGTTCCTCCAACGTGTTCAACATTTTTCTCATCGGCATGTTCGACACAATTCAAAAATGTTTTATTGGTAATTATATATATTACTTATCTCGTAAGCTAAGGTATAGTAGGCACGGCAGGTTTTTTTATTCAAGTATAACAACATATATTTCCTAAAATAAAATAAAAGCATACCGACGTATAATCGTAAAACACAATAACGAATTTAAATTTTTTTATAAAAAAACTATTTAGTATTTGGAAAACCTATGCAATTGCACCGAAATCATTAATTTTTACATCTGCAGACTGCAACTAGTACAATTTAGTACAGAATGTATATCTACATTCAAATTTACTAGATTTAAATTTATATTAATTTTGATTTCAGAACAACTAAATTATAATGGAACTTATAAGTTTAACACAAGTTGTACAAAAGAAATGCAGTGTGATAATACAGCGATGTTCTGCAATTTAACAACACTCCGATGCCAGTGTGCTGAGTAATTTGAAACTATTATTGAATAAATACAAATAGGTATAACAATAAAAGGTAAAAAGCCCAATAAAAAAAAGTAAATTATTGTTATTACATACACAATATTAATTTAGGCACGATGATAATAAAATTATAATGATGATTATTTTACTATTTAATTGTATTTTTGATAAGGATTAAATTAAAAAGAACCCTATTAATTATCATGTACTATTTTAATTTTTACCTAATCAAAATCAGTGGCGAAGCCAGGGGGGAGGTTGAGGGGGGCTGCACCCCCCCCCCCGAAATGTTAATAAAATTTAAAAATTATTTTAATGGTCTATGCCATAGACTCTATGGTATTCGATCAAAAACTAAACCACCGCTGTGTAAAAAATTGATCAGCCCCCCCCCCCGAAAAAAAATCCTGGCTACGCCACTGATCAAAATGTATGATTTTTAACCAAAAATAGCGTTTTTTTCTTCTTATAGTTTACACAAAATGGGCTTTTTACATTATTATGTCTTATACCTTCGTAATTATTTACACAATAGTGAATAGATTATATACAATTTAAACGCATTTAAATTATTTTATGTGAACAGATTTCACTTTTGGAATGAAACTGTTGGAATATGTGAATTTCAGCATAAACGTCTGACTAAATGGTTAAAAGACAACGGAACAGATAGTATCAAATATATAAGTAAGCATTATGTTAATTTTTTTTAATTTTTTCAAGTCCGTTGCACTCAAATATACCAGATCGGTGAGCTAGGAGCCCCAGCCCTATCCAGAGCCCGTATACCCAAAAAATTGTATATTGTTAAAAATAAAGTTACAAAAAAAAACAAATAATAATATGGAAAGTTTTTTGAAAATTATTAACCCCCCCCCCCTTCCCCATCATGTCTCTGGACTCTGGAGCTGACCCTGAAATATACAATACACATTTAATACTAAAACCTTATAGTAATATTATGTATAAAGTAATAAATTATAAATAACGTTAAAAAGAACATAACGGATTTTTCAAGAAGGAACTTTTACAAATAATTGTTTTATTTTTTTTAGCGGAAATAGCCGAAGCCCCATTTGTATCAAGATATAATATACCTTTGTCTGTAACAGCCGTAATGATTCTAGGTTGCATATGCTTCTTGTTTTGTGCAGCTTACGTCTGTTATGGTCGAAATGAAGTTGATGGAGACAAAAGTTTGTCCGCAGCATTATTTAAGCAAAACCAACAGTCATGTAAAATCCAAACGTCTATTATAGACAACTTTTGATAACACAGTTATGTATGGACGTAATAATAGTTAAATACATATTATTTGACATGAATATAATAATTTAATACGTTGACATTTTACCAACATTAAAAATTTATTTTAGAAAAAATAGTTTACAAAATGATACCTATATAAAGTCTTTTTTAAGGAATAGATATCTTAAAACTCCAATGTTTAAAAAAAATATTGCTTTTCCATGCAATTTAAATTAATTATTATTATAAATGATATTTTATTAGTCTTTTTGTACTCAATTATCTTAATCTTGTTTGTCATTAATTTCATCTCCATTCTGATTGGGTAAAATAGTCGATTGCTGTTCATCAACACTACCATCTTCAGTTTTTGACTTTGGTCTTGGCTTCTGTCGTTCTGATTTTTTTCGCGGATTTTTGATGAACTTATTAATCACAGGCTCTTTGCTCTGAATCTGAGTGCAATCAGCTATAAGGTGGTTTGGATCCTTACAACTATGACAGCGTTTTGGCTGAGGACTCAATGTGCATTTGGCAGCAATATGATTGGCAAAATCTCCACAGTTGTAACATCTAATAAAAATAATAAAAATACATTTATAATACATTTTACATTTTAGAAGTTAATGAAACCTACCTCAATTTTTTTTGAGGAAATACTTTTTTTGATCCCTTACAATATTGACCCCTTGGTCCAGTTACAAGAGTAGCTTCTAAACCCTTATCTGATTCATGACATGTAAACTCCACGTGTTCGTTCTCCCTAAGAGATCTAAATCCGTCTTTTTTAATTACTCTCTAAAAAAAAAAACAACATTGAGGTATAATGGTATAAAGTCAACGTGATAAGACGTTTATTAAACACGGTATAGTGCATTTTATTATACCTGATGAACAAAAACATCTTTACCACCGTCGTCAGGAGTAACAAATCCGAATCCTTTTTTTGAGTTAAACCATTTGCAGATCCCTTGGCGAACACCTTCAGGTAGTTCTTCATTTTCCGGTCTTAAGTTTTCAGCATCATTGGATGAGAGACTATCATTTCCATTTTTGTTCGGTTTTTCATTTGTTTCCACGGAATCTTTGAGGTGATAAAATTTGGATTTAACTGTATCGTCCTCGGAGTGTACTAAATTTTTAAAGAAAATGTATTAGTTATATTTGTTTATTACAAACAAAAATAGGTTTTTATATTCATATTCATATAATTTATTTTATTTTAAACACTATAATGTACAATGTGTTCTGCGAAGAAGTTACCAGCCAGTCACATGATACTATACCTTAAGTTATGGGCAATTCAACTTTTTTTAACAAAACCAAACCTACCGCACATTTGTTAAAGTACTTTCAAAACTTTTCAATTTTTTACCACTGTTTTTTTTTTATTATTAATTAAAAGCTTTTTTATAGTGCTTATATTAACTAACATACACAATCAAACCAGAAATGAACCAACCAATTATTTTTATTAAATTAAAAAAGGTAAAAAAAAATTAGCATTTTTAAAAGGAAATCCGGTAAAACTCCAAATAACTACAGTTACCCTAATTTACTAATTTTATACTTATTTTATTACTAAACAGAATTCAAATTTTTTAATTATCATATGACGCTAGCCGGTTACACTATTTCACGGCGGGACACAATAGACCCATAGAAGGTAATTATAATGTATATTTTTTCTATAGTTGTATACTAGCTATAAATTCGGTAATATCATTATCCAAAGGGATATTTTGTTTTTAATTTATTAACTGTTTAAAAGTTATAGTGGTTATAGAATTGTAGGTACCTACATATTTTGCACCTATGCATAATTTGTATACACCATAACTTGACCAGTTGAATATTATATGGATTACATTTTAAATTTAAAACTTGACAACTCACACAATAATACGTCAACAAAGTAATAAAAATATTATTACGAATTTATGAACATCGATCAATATTAATGTCATAACAAGTTAAACATAAGTATAAGTAGTAACTAGTAGCCAATAGGTATTTATAGTACAATATGTTTCGAATTCATATAATTGATATAATGATAGTCAAATAAAAAAAATAAGGTAAGTATGTAATACTCTGCTGTACTTTAAGTGTTTATAGAGAGTCACTGTAATGGTTGTGTTCAATTTGAGTTCATTGATATGAAATCATTGTATAAGAAAAACGATTTTGTGCGAAGTCCGTTAAACCAACTAAGTAGGTATATTTTATTATATTAATACGACTAAAGTAATTTATTTTACCTACAGACCTAGGTTCAATTAATTTCTGTCCAAAATGTCATTTTGTGTATAAAAAATAATTATATACTCGTACTCCAAAAGTTTCGTAGGTATAATAATTTTTAAATTACAGCAACTACAACTACAACTTATAATGGACATTGTAATACATTTTTCGAATTTTTTGACGTAGCAAAAATTTTTTTATCGACATTAACTTTAAAAATACTTATCAAAATCCAAATTTTCATATGCATATAAATAGCTCGATATATCTAGAGCCTTATATAAACATTCAGTGAAAATTTCATGTAGGCATCTACAGTAATAATTTTCTTTAGAGATACACCAAAAACCAAAATCAATTTTGAGATCAAAATAATGATCCTTTGAATGCAACAGCCAACAAGAATATTCACTTCCCTCGTAAAAGATACTGAAATTGAAAATCGAAGCATTTTTTTCGACTAGGTGATTATTGTGTACACAAACACAAAAAATTAAAAAAACACCCACACACATCTTTGTTAAATCAATCCACTCAACGCTCAGAATCTAATACCAATCAAACCTGACAATCTATTAAATTGTAGCTCATACGATATTTATATATGTGTACTTACGGTTTACCTATTATTAGCTATTGGAGTGAGGCTAATGTAGACACAGTAACTAATAACAACTATACACCGGATGTAAATGTATTATTTAATAATATAATAATGTGTACAATGTTCTAATTTGTATAGTTTATATTATTATGTTTATCATAATAAATGTTATGTTTCATTCATAGATAAAGTAAAAAAAAAAACACAGATTATTGAAGAAACGCACGTTACATATGCATAATATATTATAATAATATACACATGCGTGTATACTGTATATAAATTTCCAGCGCTTGACTATTAGTCAATGAAATATACAAACTACGATGTAGAATTGTAGACTATATAATACCACCATATGACATGTGCAACAAAACGTGTGATGATGAATTACTATGATATACGTAATATAGTAATAACTAATAAGAACATTATTTAGTCACGTCATTTCGTCCAATGCCCGCCGCTGTACAAACGGATCCGGTTTCAGAAACAATACGTTTAAATAATACAACAGAAGAACGAAGATTTGGATGTAGTGCAAGGATACTTCGTAATGCGTATAATTACTATACACGGTGATTATTTTAACAGCAAATACTCATTATCTCGAACTTTTTTTTGTACCTATATTTTTTTGAAGTCGATAGTTGATAAAAAACAATGTTTTTGAAAAAAAATAATATTTGAATAAAAATAAGAATATTTCCCAAGCATTTTATTTTGATGTACACAATTGTGTAAAGTTAGTGAAATAATATCAACTTATAACTATTTTTGCGCTTAGCGGAGTGGCAAAGAAGTTACTAGAATACCTTGCAAAATGTTGGTCTATTATGGTTTTATGTTATAAGTATAACTACCCAAATACTAGATCGAAACTTGATTTCCTTATACATAACAATACTCAGAATTATATTGCGCACATAGGAAAATAAAAATGAAAATTTCAAATTTGTTATGTATGTTGCCATTCAAAAAAGGATAAGCCTTAAAAAAATACTTTCCCAAACTTAAATAATTAGGGTTAACTTATAAAAGAATCACTAGTATTATAATGCTCGAGTAATTTAACTCGTATAAATCTGCATTTTTACATCACTGCACGTCATAGTCACTATATATATACATAATATTATGGTAAACATAAAAATTAAATATAGACGTTCAAAGTGTATACACGTGACATTAATTTTGTAGTGTTTTTATATGACTTGCCTCAAGGTCAGAGCATACGAGAAATGTGTAGTTTCATCAATGGATTTACATTTTGGAAAGTTTCATAAATAATAACATTCAACAATAAAATAATTAATAATATGTTATATTATTATAATATCTTATGTGTACGTACTAGGCAGATACTAGATACGTGTTTTCATTAGATGTAACATGTATAAGAAAGAAAGACTGTACCGTTTAAGACGAGGTTGAAAATATGTTCCACCTGAAACTAAAATAGTGCATTTTTTACAGTTCAAAGTGTGGTATACAAATTTAATAGGGCGTAATTCGAATTTCCTAAGTGTTATAAATATAAATAAGCTCATTGGACACTGGACAAGATTAACAAAACAATGTTAGTTTAACAAACTTTATTTCATTTTAATGTATAACTGTCACAAATTATTTTATGATTAACCATTACCAATTGGGTTGATTCTAATTATTTAAATTATTTACCTCCGGTTGTGAAAAATAAGTGTTTTTTTTGTTAAAAACGTAACATCCAACAAGACAATAAGAAATAGCCGGGAGCATTACAAAATTGATATCATGACGTAAGTTGTAAGGCCTATGGAAGATTTTGAAATGTATTAAAATATGTATACATAATTTTAGCACTCCCTAAAATTTAGCTCTATTTGAGCCTATATATAGGCCTCAATATAAAGCCCCTATATAGACTAAAAGATACAAGAATTTAATTTATCTCAGTTTAAAATAGTCGGGAACCCGGAGACAAACCATTATTCACGGATAATTATAATTTCGATTAATCGGTCTACACTATACATTCAAAAACACACAGACTTCGCAGAGTATTCACCGAACACCGAGCATTTTCAGAAACATTAAATATATAATTTAAACTTATATTATTGACAACAAGCTTCAAATAAATTCCGGGATATACTGTGAAACATTAATTAATCAACATTTTCTGTTTTACGAAATATTTTTGAGACCAAACCAAGTAGGCAAGATCTAAATTTGTTTAATTCTATTAAACGTATTTCTCCATAGTACGAATTTGTTTATCGCCCATGATACTTCATACGTTGTAATATACTAATATGTAAGTTTCAATGTATTATAAAATAAGACCTTAGGGTTAGGAGGAATAGCGGAAAAAAGCCCAAAACAACATAAAAATATCGATTATCGACACATGTATACATAATATACATATGATTATACATTTTTTTATATTGAGTTATTAGGAAGTTAATGATATAAATATATAATACAGAATCTACAGTCAAAAAACATCAATCTTAGGTGTATATGAATATTAGGTACTACATTTATACAAAAATGATACAATCATAAAAATAATAATATAATAACTCAATACAAAATATGCGGTACCTAAATCCTATAATATTAGGGTATTTGGACGTTTTCCCCCTGTGCATTTCCCCCCTAGTCAATTTTAGCGGCACTAGACGTCCCCCCAACAGAGACATTTCCTACCTGAATTAATATACATATTTTTTTTACACATAATAATAGGTCAGAAAATAAGTTCTTTGGTTTTACCAGAAATATGCAATCATTATATCGATATCGGCATCTATTGACTATTGTCATTTACGTTTTTATTGAAGCTTTGATGCAGCTCAAGAGCTCAGATGAGCTACTAAAGTGCATCAATAAACATTTTAAATTATAGAGCAGAAGCTTTTCGTTATAATTTAGGTAAAGGCAACAGGTTAAAAAAGTTATAAGAAAGTTTTTCAAATTATGATATTTCAAATTTTTTAATTTCCGTAAGCTATATTACCAGATTACAAAATATAAGTAAGTAAATATAATATAATATATTACTTGTATTATTTAATCATATCTAATTTGTTTAAGTATTTATAATATGTATTTGTATACTGTTTAATATTTTTAATAATTGAATTTGTATTGGTATTTGGCAAATAGCAAGTGTTATTATGACGTACTATTGAATTATATTTATATATTAATTTAATAGAATTATATTGAACAAATTTATTTGCATTGTATGTTATTATTCTTTTTTAGTATTTTTATTTTGTGTCCGGGGGTAATTTTTCCTGTTCGGGAGACAAACGTCCATTTATCGGGGGTGGAAAGGCACGGGGGAGGGGTAAACGTCCTAGATTCTAATATTGGTTCGTTGCTCAAGTTTAATATAAGATTAATGGATACACACCAATGAACCTACTATCTTTTTAGTTTTTTTTTATTCTTCATCTTAGTAACATCAGCTACCAGCCCCTTAGTTATTATTATTATCTGTTATTTATATTATGCACTATAATGTTGTATTAACTAAGTCTTAACTTATTACATTATGCTTTTTCGAATTATAATCAACGAAATATTTTTTAAATACAAAATAGTACAGTTGTAGGCACTCGCGTGGACTTTTATTTGTATGGGCTTTTTTCCATGGGCTTTATTTCCACCTACCCCTTAAGAACCTCTTAAAATAAGAAAAAACCGATAGCTTATAATTACATATAGGTATATTACTCTAGCTAATTAGAAAATCTCCATAAATCAAACTAAAAGCTTGATTCTCTGGAGAAATCTCTATAATTTGAAAAAACAAGTGTATTTTAGAACTAATAAAGTGTGAGACGGAGGTAGACCATGCTCAACAATTTGAATAATTTTGCCCAAAAATTCTATAACTTTAATTTATTAATTGTATCAAAAGTTATGGTACAACCGAGTACGGCATGATCGTATTCAGAAAAAAAAAAAAAATAAAAATAAAAATTTTATAAAATTTTAAATTGTAGCATCGAAAAATAAAGACGTAGATGGTTATTGCCCAGGTTGTTGGAATAATGATTTGAGTAAATTGTCCAATAATGCGTTTATTGATTTTACTTTTTAATCTATTCTACTGCCCACCTCCCAAATTGTAGTACTTGGATGAGTCATTGCTCCGCGCAGTACCTAACATCTTAGCTCTCACATCTAAGTCCATTTCTAGTTACACATATACCTGACACCTATTATGTAATATTTTTCAAGTAGAATATTTAAATTTTTAATCTTCAAATTGAATACAATTTTATTTAAACGTAAACTATGATAAACCATGTGGTGTTTAACCATTTCAAATTGTGTTAATTCTATTTATCTAAATTATACGTCAGCCGTGAAAGAACGTTGTGCTACGTCGTTCAAAAGCAACGTCCTACCAGAGATCGCTGGCGCGTTACACGAATGTGTAGAATTCAGAACAAATCGCGTCTTTTATTCCATCCTGCAAACGCGCACGCACAAAATCCGTATACAAACAAATAGTACAGACTATATTATTGTTGTGTACTGCCTATAAACCGGCCTATACTGCAGGATATTATAATAATATAATGGTAGTATGTACCTACTCTGGCTACCTACAATACACGTCAACGTCGCACAGCATTATTCGAAATCGAATATAATCGAAAAAGGTCGATATATATTTATGAAAAAAAAAAATTTTATTTTCACATGTGGTATGGCCATACCCTAGGTATGAGTGAAATATATTGAAGAAGGTTTTGGCAACGTGGCACTGGAACACGAAGACCGTACATAATAATATATACCTACATATAATTCTGTGTATAGGTATACGTTTAAAACACGAACCATCTGCATTTTGCCATCCCGTTTACCTGCACGGCTCTGATTTTCTACCCTTAACAGTCGGCGGCGCAAACCCTTAGGAAGGAGAAAAACATTTTTAGAAACGCGCCAGCTGCAACACACTTCTATACATATTTCTTGCGCACAGACATCGGCGGGTATAATATATAATATACATGTACATACATAAAACGGACTATACATATTATATTATACATAGTATACGATGTGATCTTCGATATCTCAGTTACTATCGGCTATATATATATAATACTTTTGTCCATATATTACATATATACATGTTTGGTTATATATACAACCAAACGTCACGTTACCGTTTTTCTTTTATTGTTGGCGTTCTATAATTTATTGTCACCTGCCTAAAATAAAAATCTACCCCTACAATAACCCCGCCTTTGATACATATATTTACACTAACATGCGTTGCATTTTATCTTTGGATGTAGCGTTTTCTTAAAGACTAGTAGTACTACCAATGTTGAAAATAGTGTTATTAACATAATATACTATCGTACAATATTCAACGAAATAAATATTATGTTCGGTATGAAAATTATTATGAGTCACTATTCATATTGGACCAGGGCCGGATTAAGAGTTTCGGCACTTCTATATTTTCCAATATCAATCTTTACATGACGCAGGATTAATATTTTTGCGTTATTTAAAATTGATCACATGTGTGGATATCAAAGATTAAATAATTGGGATTTAGGGCTTATAAACATTAATTTACCCATAATTATACGGTTCTTAAGCAACGCAATACGCGTATGCATCTACCATGTGAAATAATACGCCAGAAAGACAAATCGTCTGTTAACATAATATTATGGGTACTACTTATTAAGTGTATTCTTCAGTAACACGGATAACGGATTATTTTATTATATTTTTTTTATAGTGTATTTACATATAGGTACGTGCACTGTGCACACTGCAGTGTTATATATTAAGTATTAACGTATTCTCAACAGCGACCCTAATTAAAGACTATACTCGGCTGGATATCAAAATGTTACAAAGGACAATTTACAATTTAATTTTTAGGTATACGGTATACATTATACTATTATAGTCAAACATGTGCCTGTGCGAGGAATGTATTATTACTATTATAAAGACGTGATGAACTTATATTTTAAATTTGAAATACGTAAAATATAGAAATATGGAAAATATTTGTATCAAACACAATGAAACGTATTAGGCACACATAATATTATACTATAGGCACGATCGTAAATTCGTATTAAAAGACGGAGTGTCGAGAATACGAGAAGCACCTGCAATCTGTACAGTATATTATATTATATAACCTTAAAGTATAAGTGGTGTTTTATAAATGCATTTATCTTAAGTATATGTTTTTGGATTACACATTTTAATCGTGATTATAAAGAGTATAGACCAATACTCAACAGTTTACTTTATATAATATAATTATAACTAAATAAGGATTTACCGATCGCATTTCACCATATAAAATAAAACGATATTCATTATATTGTACAGTATTATATATTATGTAAGAATACACATAACCATAAATAAATATGTACCTATATATCATAATATAAATTAAAATAACACGTAATAGCGGAATATCTAGAACAACTAGAACCATCAAAACAGAAAATGTATAATATAGAGGTACCTACTATTCAAATATTCAATGATAATATTTTGTTATTGACACTTGCATTTATGATAAGATAAAAATGCAATCGCCGGATTTATAATGCCGAAAGAACTCTAGATTCTGTCGTAAACAAACAGCCTAAAAATAGCTTATTGCGCCGTTTTGAAAACTGCGCCTTGACTGTAAACCAATCGTGCTTAGTGCTTACTAGTGGTTAGTAGTCTGTAGTTTAGCATACATATTATCTGCATATCGCGACTGGTAAAACTATAATATACCCATTTCCTGTGAACGTACAACTTACCTATAGATATAAAAAGTGAATAATAATTGTTACTAAATACTAAGTAAACTTTGATATTATAATATTTTTCAAACTTGAAACGAACGCTTCGTCGTCGTAGGTAATTGAGTTATTCGGTATATACGTACTATAAATAAGTAATTATAAACCGGCTAAGTACGTCGACTAAACATGATAGTATATAATATGCGATTGTATGCAATGTACATCAATGTTATTTAATTTCGTTAAAAACGTAGGTACATACGCCCCGTTTGTTTGTTTTTTCGTCTGAGACGTGAAGTCACAAACCCAGTAACCTATCTACAATGACTCACCACCGTTGGAAGGCGCCGTCGAGAGTTGATTGTTTTCGGTATTGTTTTCACTCATTTCGGTGCAGGTTCGACGCAATCAGCACCTGCAAGAAAAACACACGAATCAAGAAAACAATACATTATTATAATATTACGAACGCGTTATATAAAGGCATTTTAAGTGTAGGTGCAGGTAAATGAGTATATTATGTTTAGGTGCGAGGGACGAGATACCACACTACGGTGAGTGAGATGTATATGTACATAGACCACACGTAGGTAGATCTCAGATTTACAAACGTTTATAGTCGGGTATTATCTATGATCGCACATAAAACCATATAAAAAACATCGAAGGCTGTACGTTTTATTGTGCTGTCAGTGGCTGCGGGAAAAACGAGAAAAATCACTTTACGGGTCACGGTGTCGCACTGATACAACCGATAGAAAATAACCACCAGCCGACGATAAACAGCGAACACGCGTGTGGTTTTTTACCAAATACCCATGATACGCCTAAAATGAATATAGCTAGGTAATATGCATAACTTTATGTGAGCTTGTTTCTCCCTACGTAGTCGGATATTTTACACCCACAAATATATATATATAATAAATATTTGAAAGCGATCGATGAACGTATCTCATTATCGACGCGATATATTATCATTGGTTGTATTATAATTAGTATTATTATTAATTACCCGATATAATGTTGTTAATAGTATTAACGGTCGTCCGTTATGGTGCCCGCTCAACTTTATGGCGGTGGAAGCGAAGAGAATAAAAAAAAGGTCCGTCGGATACACACTCGTGTCACAGTAATTAAATAATGTATTAAAAGTCACGGTCGCGATAATATTGTGTATTTATGTATGACGCATTGAAGTCACAGTTAAACACTATAAATGTATTGAAAAATGTATGGTGGTGCGCGTGCGAGGTACTCGTGAGTTGCGTGCGCGCGCGAATATGTGCGTTCGTGTACTGCACCGAGGCCTGATGCACGTTTTCGTCGTTCTGCTGGTTCGTCTGGTGGCGGCGGCGGTGGTGACGGCGGCGGCGGTGGTATGGTAAAAATGTTGTGGCCTCCACGAAAAACGCGTCGTGTTAGGTTAGGGTGCGTGCGCGCGCGCCACTCGGGGTGGCGTATAATAATATAATACAATATAATAATATTATACGTGACGCGTAAATGGTAATATATATATTATATTATGGTATTGTGCGGCGTGCGAAGGACGGGGCATTTTTCCCGGAGAGAGTGTGGGGAGGCGAGAGAACCGGCGCGGCGTATCCCCCAACCGAAAAATGGACGGCCACTGCGCATGTGCGCCGAACCGTAAATCACTCCCATCCGGCGGGGGCCGGTCGCAGCAGCAGCAGCAACATCAGCAGCAGCAGCAGCAGCATTTCTATATGGCATGATATATACTAAATTATATACATATACGTTCATATATATATATATATATCGCGTTGTTATTTATAATAGCCGTAATAATATTATATATTACGTATATATATATATATGTACGCGTGTAAGGACAACGCGGTGGTGGTGCTTGCGGGGTGCTGTCACACCGGAGCCGGTCGCCGGGTCGCCGCTGGAAATCGTGCAGAACCGGCGTCCGTTACCGCCGCGTATTATATGCGCACTGTCGGCGACTTGGCGTCGCGCGCGCCGGTTTCTGTATACCTGCCTACGGTTTAGACGCTATTATTTTCCCTCCCATTTTCGTTCACAAGATTCGTCGCGCCGTCCGTCCCATACGTGGCAGTCGCCGTGCACGCAGGCTACGCACGATGTTCTTTTCCCGCGCCGACGCCGCCGCCGCCGCCGCGTCCATCCCTCTTTCCCGCCACCGCCGCTCGCACCCACCCCCCGGCACACGGCGTTGTGCACGAGCAGCGTGTCCTAGGTTAGGGAGAGTAGGTGTGCACACGAGGACGGGTAGGGGGAAATGGAGGAGGACTACGCGACAATACGAATAATATTCGACGAGCCGAACCGACCGGAGACCGAACACGCGATGTGCGGGCACATGATATTCCCGACGAGAGATTTCCACCGCGAGCACAGTGATAATAAACCATGACCCGCTCGTTTGCGAACCGAACACGTAACGTGGACGTGTAGCTGCTGCGTAGTGGTTTTGGGCGGCGGTCGGTCGAAAATGAGCGCTAACACACGCGCTTCGCCCATGTGGTCTGCACACAGGGGGTTGGAAAACCGTCGTCACTTATGATGACGTGTGTACGACGTTCAAATAGATAGTATTAAGCGTCATATATTCCAAAATATGTATATGATTGTTAGTCGTTGTCAGTTGTACCTATACCTATTAATATCTATGCCATTATGCCAATCGGTGCATAATAATATATGTGATACAACAATAGGTAGCCATATATGTAGATATATTATATAATACTCTACACGGTGTGCATGTGGCACTCGTCTGGAACTGTGTGGTCCATGTTTGTATCCCGTAAATATAAAAAGTATTTCCTAATGTTATAATATTGTATTGAACATTATTTGTGTGTAAAAAATAATATATATTACTAGTCGCTGCATTCTTGAATCTTGCAGCGCAACCACATCCCCAGAAGGCCAGAACCATTAAAATGTTCAAGCAGTTAAAATATTTTCTGTTTTCTACATCTATGTCTAAACTCTCATAGTAATCCATATACATATAGCCACATAGGTTTATATTTCTGTAAAAACTTTCGAATCATTTACAATTTACATCATAATATTGTCGTATGTACTCGTATCGAATAATATATTGATTGCTTTATAGAGGAGATCGTTTTTATCCAATGACCACACCGATTACTTCTTATCCTATAACAGTATAGCCTATAACCTTATTAATCCACATTAAAAATCCATAATATAAACTCTGTAGTCAATTATTATTTATAATATTATATACAGATCACTTTATTTATATAATATAATATATTATACCGCCACGACTTAATACAAGACCTTTAAAAACGTATGTACATCAGAACTCATGTTTCATTCTATATCTCGAATATATAATTTTATTCCACTATACTGCAATAGCATCTCGTGCCTCAGTGTTTGTATACCTATATTTAGAAGACACTGTATAATATGATATATAGACCGTACCACCCTGAATCTGAATAGAGTTGAAGATTATTTTTAATTTCGTATATTTTTATCATTTTGGTGTCGACAAACATATATATATATATTAAATAATCACCGTGTACAGTGATAGAGGTGTCGTTAGATGAATTCCGTGGATAGGGTTAAAAAATGATTATAGTTATAGGGATATAGTAAGCACATCACCCTGATAAAAAAAACTAAAAGTTTATTATGATTTCAACTTTTATTAGCTGAAAACGTTGATATTATACGTTGTATTACGTTGTATTACGTTGTACCTAGGCTACATAGAGTATAAAGATGTATTTAAAAGTGCCACTCTTGCAGTAAGTCCTTATGTCAATAGTGATTCTGATTCTTAACCAAGTTTTTAATCAAATAAACAATAACCAATGCGACATTATAAATAAGCAGAAACTATAGATAAATCATTTATTTACTAAAATGCCTAAATATAGTTTTATATACGAGGCGATCATCCCCCTTCCTCCTAAGAGACGTATTGTTAGTGGATCAATAATGAATTTAAGGTATACAGAAAAAACCCAAATCTTTAAGTTACATGTCTATAATTTATTCCTATAGCTAACAAAACGGCATCTATAACGAGATGATCCGAAGGGCCCCTTTTTATCCTGTACTCCTATCAAGGAAGTAAAGTGACTATATATAGTGACTATAACTAGTGTCCTGTTAAATATTTTAGGTTAATATTATATTACATTAATTATATAATTAGAGAACTATACTACTGCTAAATTCTGACTGTGTCTGACTGTTATATATTGTGCATCCTCATATACTTTGAAAGCTGTTTGTATTTTCATAATAGAAATAAGTATGTAATATACATAAATACATAGTGAATACTATAAAATATTTGCCTACTATTCTGAGAACTCTTCAGAACATACTATTTAAAAACTTAATCCCTATATAGGTTATTATCGCTTAGCAGCCATATCGGTTATTAGCTAAACTAGTATGATGGCTGTATATAAGTGACCAAAGTTATTGCTATAGAATTAAAGAAAACGCTGCACGTTCTAGTGTTAGCTCAACTATACGTATACATACACTATCATGTATTTTTGGCTGAGTTTCTGAATTCAGAGGTTTTAAAAAGTGCAATCCTATATTTTATATTTTTGTATCATTATTCATTATCATATTATAATATATACGTCATGCGGTACATCGTACATGCGTATATAGTAGATGAGTATTATAGTGAACACACTATACACACGATCTTTAATATACAAACATATTCACATATTATGTTAACCACTATCCAACCTTTTTTGTTTTTAACTAACTGAATTTGAGATACACTTCGTCATTGTGGCACAAAATTATTTGGGGAGGGGTAAAGGTTTAAATAAGATATAGAAGAATGGTATCCATATGTAGTAGGTATTTTTTATCGAAGCTCTCTTACTGTCGACTGCAGAAAGCAGAAGACTGTAATCTATTGACTGTTGTTTATGTATGAAAATTGTGTATTTATGTCCATAAATATTAACATTTAATAATAAGCGTATACGTCCTAAGTAACATTATGATGACCATTGGCTATAACGCAAAAATAAAATAAATTTTAGAATACAACGTAAATCTTTGGAACTAATATGCGTTACAAATTTAAAAATGAATATCGTTTTTACATTATGTACAATTTTATATAATCTCATATAGAACACACATAGAGAGTCATATTCACTTGCATTATAAAGTATATGCACTACCCATTAGGGTATCTTCCTAGAAATACAATGGTCTACGCCTCTACGGGATCACTGCTGTTGGGATAAACCTAATATTATGGATGGCACATGAGTAAATGCGCCACAGGGAATATGTTTAGAAAACCAACACAATGTATATAATATTATAGTCTTATTAATGATTATTATAAGAGTTTGGATTATTTATGTTTCTGTGAAATTCATGAACATATTATTTCACAATCCACATAACATGGGTCCTTAAAATTTTGAAACGTAAGACGATCCTGCAGAGTGTACATGTATAATTCCTAACACTAAGTATATGGATGAGAATAAATATAGTGCAAAATGACTTCATTGCAACGAAACTCAATGAAAACCGTTTCGTTCCTTGTGAATTTGTTGTTTGTTCCTCTACCTAACGATTTATAAATACCACCTGATTTAGATTGCAAAATGTTACTTAAAGCCCTTATAAGTATACTCACACTAACGTAATTACATTTCAAACAAAATGTGTTTAAGATCTATACTTAATATAAAATGTTCACATTATTAAAATTGCATTAATTATTACCTAATGAAAAATATACAATTATAATATATACCATATACCTTTACTGAATGGTGGAGAGTACCTACTATAATAGAATCAAATGTCAAAATTAGAATAATTATTAATTATTATAATTCTGATCTTATGTAATTATGTATTATTATATAATTTATTTAACTATTGATATTTAATTATCGTCTATATATGTGTATGAAATAATATATTATACTGTTAAATCAAAATATAGATAACTGCGCAGATTAGCCCATAAATATTCGGTTTTTAGCTTATCCGATAAATACTTTGTACATGTACTTCCTATACTATAAATTCCAGTCCTCATAATATACATATATACTATATTACTATAGTAATATTTATAAAACACTGTGGCATGGCACACAGGAACATATAATAGTATCGGGTTCTAAATTCAGTAAATACTAAATATGAATGTGTATAGGTATATACCGTATACATGTCTATTATTATCAATATTGTGTATTATAAATTATAATACAAATTATATCATCTGCAGGGCAGCGGTTGTAGTGATAGTCTGTATGTTACGTTATAAACGATATAACAAATTATACCTAGGCTATAACTTATAAGTCTATTACTGTTATGACTTATGAATCAGTATTAACACATTCGTAATTATGGATGTTAAATTAATTTATTGCACTTC